ATCAATGTATAGTACCCATTCCTAGGAATCTGCTAAAATTAATGAATCTCTTTACAACAGCGATCTAATGTTTCAGCTTTGTTGAATGAATGCGTTACATATTGTATATGATGAGTGGTTGTGTACATTATAATTGACTATTTGAATTTTTCATTTGTATAATTTTTTTTGTTTCCTTCGTTCCCCATTCCTCACCTCCGTCCCCAGGTATCCAAAGTTAGTAGTACATCACCCACTTTTGTATATTTTAGTGTTTTTTTTTGTGCTTTTATGGAGGCAATGTATATATAGTTGGTGCCACATGAGTATAGTTTGATTGAGTTGATACCGATCATTGAAGATGGTCATGAGCTTTGTTCCTTGTGAGCTTTGTTCCTTGTGTATTCTCTGAAGCTGTGAAGAACCCCCAGCAACATTTACTCTAATCATTCAAGGGAATTGCGAGTGCCTCGGGTGGGAATAATGGCCCAAGAATGCCTCGTGTTCATCCAAGCATAAGAATGTGGAAAGCTTGAAATTTTCCCATTTACTAATTGAAAGAAGAAATCAATTTCTAAACACAACAAAAGAAGGAGCAGCAAGAACTTCGATAATTATGCCATCGCATGCATTGAAAGATCACTTTGAAAGCTTTAGCCAATTTTTTTTTTTTTTTTTTTTTATCCTAACATGCTAGAAATACATTACATTTTTCATGGGAAGTTGAAGTTTTGCTATTGAATCATAAATTGGAAATGATAATCATAGCATATAATTGTTCAAAAGGTTTCACATCTGATGCCACCTAATATTGTTTCATATATAGAATATATAGTATCATAAGAGAACAGAACTCTAAAGCATCTTGCAGCAGACTTTCAAATTTATTTACAAGATTTCTAAGGATGGCTTCTTACAACTCAATACCTTAACTTTTTGAATCATTTACTCCATTTTTACGTTACATGTAAATATACCGGTGAACGCTACACAAACTAGAGATGAAGCCTGACATCGGAAAAGACCAGCATTCTAATCGCCAAGTCCAGAAAGTGAAACCGGATTGGACAAACATGAGAAACTTAGGCTTGTGTACCCAACAGAATGATCCCAAATAGATGAAACAGATATTTCTATCTACAAATGAAAAAAAGGACGTCCCAGACTCACCTCGAGTAGTGGTTCTTTTAATCTCCAATCTCCAATGATGATGATAGAAAGCCCAGCCTGAGGATTAAATTTGTATCCCTTCACAAGAATACAGAGCTGTCAAATTATTCTGCAGTGATAACTAATATAAAAGTCAAATGAAAATTAATTTTGGATGAAAAATATTAAATGAATTTGATTCATCGGTTTTATAGAAAAGATCGGTACATATTGCTAGTCTAGGTCAAGGCTCTCATCTGAATCAAGCACCAACCGACCATCCAGTACAGCCCCTCTGTAGTCCAAGAATGAATGGGAATCCCAAAACCTTGAAAAGAAAGAAAAATACAATACAAACGTATACAAGAATCAAGGGGGCAGAGCACCATGGGGTGCCAATCGCCAACGAGATGAAGATGATCTCTTATAATATGTATCGGTTTTCCTTTCCCTACTACATCTGCCATAATTTCATGTTGGGATAAAAATTTCTATGCAGCTACCACAGAAAACACACGTATATTTCAGTAGGTTCTAAGCAAAGACTACTACTGCAAACAAACAGAGGCAGAGACAAAGGCTTATGAATGAGAGCGTTACAAATTTCTGAATATTTTTATTGTCACACAACAAGGGAAAAGGGTTACAACTCAATATTGACGTTAGCTAGAACGTTGTATTGTATGCCAAGTCATTCACGCATGCTATTGAAGGAAATACGACTACTATAGGTTGATCAAACCACCACTCAAACATATATAACACATTTACCCAAATTAAAGGCTTCCTTCCTGTATATATCGGCACACAAAAAAGCATTCTCAAAATTCACCCATGACCCATAATTGCATAAAATATAAATATGCGCGGTAAGCATGACTTACATAATAATTACATAAGAAAGTAGAAAAAAAGTTGATTCTTTATATATACTCATAGCCACATTCATCAACCAATGGGTTGCAATTTGGCAAATGAGTATTGTAGAAATTACATGGTATACATTGAACAAAATAGATAAAATGTAGAGTTGTTTGCTGAAATGATCTTAACTGAAAGGATTAGTGATTCTTAGCTCAAAACTATTTACAACCAATCTTCATGGAGCATACATTTTGGGTCGATTGGAGAAAGTTTGAACACAAAGACTAAAGTATTGAATGTCACCAGTTGTGACCAGTTGTGACCATACTTTCTGTATATATTTGGTTTCCACTCTCGATCCGACTTCACTTCACAGATGTCCTCTTTACTTTTTCTTCAAACCATAGATCATCTCCACTCAGATGAATGAAGAAATATGTATACCCTGCTGGACAGGGTTTAAAGATACTACTTGGGCAAGCCACCGCAGCTGCGTTTGCATATTCGGAGACATATGATTTTGCTGATTTTCTTTGAGCCGGTCACATCCATATGGTTGGATGTTGTTTTTCAAGGTCAGTTTGCTTAAGTTTATATTAAAATAAATTATATTATATCAAACACATGAACGAATGTCACATATCAATCCCACCTAAACCTACCTCTCACTATCCTTCTGTTGTTCTCGAATCTGGTGCCTTGATCTCATATCGTTCGCTCCATCTGTGGCAACAAAAACAAATCAATTATAATAAATTAAATATAAAAATAAATTAAATTGTCTCAAAATGGGAAAATTCAACAAAATAAATAAACAAATTAAAATTAATTAAATATGAAAAAATTAAAATAATATGATACAACCCAAAATGAAACTCAAAAGCCACCTACCACAGAATCAGAACCAATCGGAAAGCCCTAATCACAAAATAAACCCTAATCAAAGTTGATGTATTTCTGGAAATCCTAGCCTACTAGTTAAGCACCCACAAAAGCATAAACTTGCAAACCTTGGATGATACAAATGAGGGGCGGAGGTCCTTTTATACACCAAAGACTCTATGAGAATCTAGAACATTCTAGGTGTTACCAAAGGATTCATTATATTCTACCACATTCCAGAAAGATTTTAGAATATTCCTAAAAAGATTCTCGAATATTCAGTTTTTCAGGGTTAAAAGAGATTTATAATTTTTATTTATTTATTTATATTGTAAATTTATTCTATATTATTCTTTAATTTTTTTTATTATTATTTAATGGGTTTAGTTATTTTGTTACTATATTTATATTATTAAATTTATTTTTTTATGTATCTTTGATTACTTTATTAATTGTATTTTATATATTTTATTTTATTAATATTTATTATATATATTACTTTAATTATTTTATAATTATTATATTTTAATTGTGTTTTGCTTTTTAATTTAAATAAGAAACTACCCCACAATCTGCTCGATTTCAATTAAAATATATTATGTTATCTAATAAATTTATTAGACATATTAAATATTATTTAAACAAAAATTCAAACAAAAATTCACTTTAAAATCAAAACAAGCAGACCCTTTATACAAAAAATATTTTAAATGGTTATTTTTAGCATAATTAAAATAGATATATAAATACATTAAATACATATTAATGATATCATTTATATGTATATATATTATTTTTGAGATTTTAAAATATAATTATATATGCACGTAATTGAAATGATAAAAGAGGAAAATCTTATGATTTATTTGGTTTTAATTTGAAAATTGAATTTTTTATTTTACTTTTTGTTTAAATACACCAAAAAATCTAATTAGCTACAATATTTTTAGTTAAAACATGTCATTTAGCAACACAAATTAATTTTATCAAAAATAAATAAATTATGTACTACAAAATTAATTTCGTCGCTAAAGTTTTTTGAGAGAAGATTCTATCTTCATAAAAAAAAAAAAAAAAAAAAAGGTTTTAGCTACAAAATTATTTTTTATAGCTAAAATCATTTGGCTACAAAAGTCATACATATTTTGTTGCTAAAAATCTTTTTGTTATAAATTTTAATTTTATAGCAAAAGAGTTTTAGCTACGAAATCATATTTTTGTATCTATATATCTATTCTTAATTTTCATCGCAAAAAAACTTATTTTTTGTTACGAAAGTAATATTTGTCGCCAAAGACCTTACTAACGCAGCTTGATTATCATTTCTGTACCTACACTCATTTGCAAAATGTCCACGCTTATGACAATTATAGCATTCTAAATTGGACTTGTCATACCTCTCTTTATATCATCCACGCCCTCGACTCCGAAAGTTTGATTGACAACTTGCATTGGGGTCGAAAGATGAAGATGAGTTGTTATTGCCACCATAACCTCTTCTAGGACCCCGCCCTCGGCAGTTAGACTGATTCCCAGTTCTTCCTCTTCCTCTACCTGAAGGGTCAACGAGATTTATGGGTGGATCTTTTATTTATTTGTCTGCATAATAAATGACCGGTAGAATAGGTCTTCTTGTTGAGTCTGTTGAGACTTTTTCGAAACTGCTATTTCTTTTGTAGTGGCTATTTAACGCCCAGCTCGATTACTGAATAAATTGTCGAAGCTTCCTCGTGCATATTGATTCTTTTCTTCCTTCTTTGCTCTAACATCTGGTATCAGAGCCAAGTTAGCAAGTTTGATTAGAATCTGAGGAATACACGAGTGAAAAGAGAGAGATGTCGAATGAAGAGCAGAACCTACTGACGATCCCAAAATTCGACGGCGAGTACGACCATTGGAAGATGCTGATGGAGAACCTACTCCGATCAAAAGAATGGTGGCATCTTATCGATCCTGGCTATACGGAACCTGCAGAAGGAGCCAAGGAGACCGATGAACAAAAGAGTGCAAGAGCAGAATTAAAATTGAAAGATCTGAAGGTTAAGAATTATTTATTCATAGCCATTGACAAGAGCATTCTAAAGACAATTCTTCAGAAGGAGACGGCTCGGGAACTTTGGGAATCAATGAGAAAAAAGTACCAGGGAAGTCAAAGGGTACAAAGATCTCAATTACAGGCATTGCGAAGAGAGTTCGAAATTCTCGAGATGAAGGAGAGCGAGACAATCACAGAGTACTTTGCCCGGGTGATGTTGGCTGCCCACAATATGCGCAACAGCGGCGAACGTTTGGAAGATACTCAGATCGTCAAGAAAATATTGCGAACCCTCACTGAGAGATTCACCTATATTGTGGTGTCCATTGAAGAGTCAAAAGATATTGATCATCTAAGTGTTGATGAACTACAAAGCTCTTTAGTTGTACATGAACAGAAATTTCGCAGAAACATAAAGGAGGAAGAACAGGCTAAATGTGACAAATGAAAATGTCAGAGGAAGAGGTCGAGGTAAAGGTCGATGTATGATAGGAAACAACCTAGGAAAAGGACAATGGAGGCACCCGGTAAACAAAGCGACCATTGAGTGCTATAATTGCCACAAATTAGGACACTTTCAATATGAGTGTCCTACTTTGGGAAATAAGGCAAACTTCATTGAAACTGATGCTGAGGAAGAATTGCTGCTTATGGCATGTGTTGAAGGGAACAAGGCCACGAGAGATGAGGTATGGTTTCTGGATTCTGGATGCAGCAACCACATGAGTGGTAATCGGGAGTGTTTTTCAGAATTGGACGAGGATTTCAAACACACTGTGAAATTAGGGAACGATAGCCGCATTGCAGTTACAGGAAAAGGGAGTGTGCGCATGAAAGTAAGCGGGTATGTTCAGGTCATTTCAAATGTATATTATATACCTGAACTTAGAACCAACTTGTTGAGTATAGGACAGCTTCAAGAGAAAGGCTTGTCAGTGCTAATTCAGAATGGAACATGCAAGGTCTACCATCCAAAGAGAGGAGTGATTATGAACTCAGACATGAGTGGTAACAGGATGTTCTATTTCATTGCTGAAATGGAAACACAGTTCCCCATGTTAATGAAGGCTGAGTCATTAGAAGTGTCACACCTATGGCATTGCCGTTTTGGACACTTAAGCTACAAAGGCTTGACTGCTTTATCAACTAAAGAAATGGTGGAAGGGTTGCCCCAGATAAAAATTTCACAAAAGCTATGCTCAAGTTGTTTGGTAGGAAAGCAACATCGGGAGAGCTTCCCAAAAAAGAGCGCGTGGAAATCAACACAGAAGCTGCAACTGATCCATTCAGATATATGTGGTCCCATTAATCCAACATCAAATGGCAACAAGAGGTATATTTTGAGTTTTATTGATGATTTCTCACGCAAAACTTGGACGTATTTCTTGAATCAGAAATCGGAAGCTCTTGATGTCTTTATGAGTTTCAAAGTACGTGTTGAAAAAGAAGTCGGAACAAGCATACTCTGTCTTAGAACAGATAGAGGAGGTGAATTCAACTCAAATGAGTTTGCCGAATTTTGTAAAGACCAAGGAATCAACAGGCAACTAACTGCAGCTTACACACCTCAACAAAACGGTGTCGCTGAGCGGAAGAATCGGATTGTAATGAATATGGTTCAAACTATGTTGGATGAAAAACAAATGCCAAAAGAGTTTTGGGCAGAAGCCGTGAATTGGTGCACTCACATTCTCAATAGATGCCCAACGTCAGCTGTAGAAAATATGACGCCTCAAGAAGCTTGGAGTGGCAATAAACCAAAAGTTGATTATTTTCGGATATTTGGTTGCCTAGCACATGTACATGTTCCAGATCAAAAACGAGGAAAATTGGATAACAGAAGCAGACCTCACGTATTCATTGGTGTTAGCAAGGAGTCTAAAGCATACAGACTCTTTGATCCGACAACAAACAAAATATGTATCAGCAGAGATGTTGTTTTTGAAGAAAACATGGGCTGGAACTGGAAAAAGGGTACTGCTAAGGTGATCCCAAATGCAATTACATGTGGAGATAATGGTGACGCAGATGATGAGAAAAGGCCAGTTGACGTCTCATCGGAAGGAGAAAGTGATTCTGGCACAACACCAGCAGAAAAATCAGCAAGCTAATTAGAAGAAACAGGTTCAGGAGAAGAGGAGGAATGCACTACTCCGAGTGCCCCGGAAAGAAGGCCACGCACAACTCTCACATGGATGGTGTATTATGTTTCTGGGGGAGAACTATCTGAGGACGAAACAGTCATGATGATGATAGAAGATGACCCTGTAACCTTTCAAGAAGCTGTGAAAAGTAAGAAGTGGAAAGAAGCAATGGCAAAGGAAATGAAATCTATTGAAACGAATGGCACTTGGACGTTGTGCACACTACCAAAGGAGACCAAAGCTATAGGAGTGAAGTGGGTGTTCAAAACAAAGTTAAATGAAAAAGGAGAAATAGAGAAACACAAAGCAAGATTAGTGGCCAAGGGGTATGCGCAACAATATGGAATTGATTACACAGAAGTTTTTGCCCCAGTAGCTCGTTTGGATACCGTCAGGCTTATTCTAGCTATAGCGGCAAAGAACAAGTGGGAAGTACTTCAATTTGACGTCAAGAGTGCATTCCTTCAAGGAAATATCAAGGAAGAAGTGTATGTGCAGCAGCCAATGGGATTCGAGAAGCAAGGAGAAGAAGAGAAAGTCTATCGACTACACAAGGCGCTGTATGGTCTTAAGCAGGCGCCGAGGGCTTGGTACAGTTGGATTGAAGCCTACTTTGCTCGTGAAGGATTCAAGAAATGCACAAATGAACACACTTTGTTTATTAAAGTGAAGGAGGAAGGTGAACGTTTAATAGTAAGTCTTTATGTTGATGACTTAATCTACACAGGGAATGATCCAGCTACGCTCGAAGATTTTAAACGTTCAATGATGGGTGAGTTTGACATGTCTGATTTGGGAAGAATGAAGTACTTTCTTGGAATCGAAGTTATAAAAAATGATCGGGGAATCTTCATTTGTCAGCGCAAATATGCAGAGGAGGTGCTGATTCGTTTTGGAATGGAAAACAGTAATGTGGTAGCAAACCCCATAGTGCCAGGAACAAGAATTTTGAAGGATGAGGAAGGTCCAAAATTTGACCCAACAATGTTCAAATAAGTTGTCGGGTGTCTCATGTACCTAACCGCTACTCGGCCAGACATAACATATGGGGTTAGTCTCATCAGTAGATTCATGTCCTCTCCAACAGAAACTCATTGGAGTGCAGCAAAAAGGATATTGAGATACATCAGAGGAACTACTCAGCTTGGAATTTTCTACTGCAATGAAAAAAAAGGTAAATTGGACGCATATTCGGATAGTGATTTTGCTGGAGATCTTAATGATAGGAAAAGTACATCCGGTTATGTTTTCTTGCTTGGAAAAGGAGTTGTATCATGGTCTTCAAGGAAACAACCTGTAGTATCATTGTCCTCCACATAAGCCGAATACATATCAGCTGCATACTGTGCAAGTCAATGCATATGGCTTCAAAACTTGCTTGAAGAACTTGGTGAAAATGGAAGAAGAGGTACTGTGATCAATTGTGATAATACTTCGACTATTCAATTATCTAAGCACTCTGCTTTTCATGGAAGAAGCAAACATATAGATGTGAAGTTCCATTTTCTAAGAGAGCTAGTGGATAAGGGATCAGTGCTACTCAAGTATTGCAAAACACAAGAACAGGTTGCAGACATTCTGACGAAGCCGATAAAGGTAGAGCAATTCGTGAAGCTGAAGAAAATGCTTTGAATGATTGAAGCAACAAAGATAAACTACTTGCTGCCGCATTCAGTTTAAAGGAGGGATTGAAGGGTCAACGAGATTTATGGGTGGATCTTTTATTTATTTGTCTGCATAATAAATGACCGGTAGAATAGGTCTTCTTGTTGAGTCTGTTGAGACTTTTTCGAAACTGCTATTTCTTTTGTAGTGGCTATTTAACGCCCAGCTCGATTACTGAATAAATTGTCGAAGCTTCCTCGTGCATATTGATTCTTTTCTTCCTTCTTTGCTCTAACACTACCTCTGAAATTTCCATCCTTTCGGTTGGTTTCACCACGAATGTTAGCCTGTGCTTGAAAGGCTTGCTCCACTGGAACAGCTTCTTTGTTTTGATTCATCCGCTGTTCATGAGCTCGTAAGGATCCAGACAATTGTTTGACTGCCATTATTAACGTATCGTTGCCTTCCTCAATAGCTGCCACAATATGTAAATCATTATCAACTATCATTAAAATACAATATCGGAGGAGATCAGGATTCAGCACCTGAATCTCACAAAATTAATTACTATAATTACATTAATAATAGAATTTAATTATATAAAATAAACTAATTAATTTTTAAGTTTTTCAGCATACGTGCTGATTAATTACATTCAGCATATGATCCAATTTCATACAATATATATTTAAACTTCATACAAAAAATAAATGTATATTTATAAAGCGGATGAAATGAGTACATTTTTTTAGGCTATTGTTAGTATGATCATTGAATATTATTCAACATGATGGTAATAATATAGATGAATAATATACTCTCTCCGTCCGCCTCCAATATTCACATCTACCTTTTGCGTTGTACTTAACATTAAAAATATCCTTATATTTTTATAATTTTTTTTGTACAAATATCCTTCTATTAATATTATAAAATATTAATGTAAATATTTTTGCAAATTTTTTTTTTTCTTAATTTGTACTATATTTGATATAATAATTAATATTCAAATATCAATACGCAGAAAGTAAATGAAACCTTAGAACCGGACAAATGTAGTATTAAAAGTGCATTTACTTTTTAGAATATAATTATAATACATATATCATTTTTTAATGAATTATATAATCATATGATAAAATAATTTAATATTTACTTTATTGATGTTCAAATCGATGTTTCTAGCTAAAAATACTATATATATAAATTTATTTATTCATATATTAATTTATATTCTTCTTTTTTATATCACATATTATCTTCTAATCTTTTGATTAATCTTTTACCATTTAATATTTATTGATATATTTTTAAATCATTTCATTAAACATACTTGTACCTTATAATTATATCTTATGTTATTTTAATTTTTTTAGAATTAGTAGATATCATCTATCATTAACATATTAGTACACTGCTAGAAAAATCTGATTGTGTACAAAAAAATTATTTTGAAAACTAAATAGTCAAAAATAATATAGGTTTGGAATACCCTACATAATTTAAAAATATATATTATGTTGTCTCAATGACCTGGTGTAACACCCCCAGTTGGCTCGTACTGGAAATGCTACTGCCACACTGCATCATGAGGTCGTCACCTCCTACTTCGGGCCCCACAATACAGTGTTAAGGCAAAAATTAACCATAAAAGCGTATTATTATATAAAAAAATCTGATTTATGAATATTTACAAAAC